AATTTGAGGATTGTTTGCGGAAGACTTCTTGACTGGGAAGGCGAGGAACCTTCACAAATTCCTGGTAGCCAGGACGACATGAACGCTGAAGAGAGCTTTGTGGATGTTATGCCGGAATGATCATTTTATCAGATTCCTTTTGTTACAAACTAGAGTATACGACGGATATTATAACGACAATCGTCTCGCAGGGGTCGGATTTGGTATTAACTGGTAAATATGACGGACGGATGACTAGGTTCAGGAGGTAGTCATGCCCGCGGCGTTATCCTGAAGGTTATGGTCTATCGTGGCCATGGTAAAAAGTTACAACCTGTGTAAGTCAGGGTAGGGAATGATGATTATGGAAACGAAACTTTATGTATGAATTACGTAGTTAATATTATCTTGTTTTCACCTTTTCTATTTCTATTAGTTCCAAAAAGGACTGCTCGTAGGTTCAAAAAAGAATAGTCTATTTAGAAGAAAGACCTATTACTAGCTAAGATAGGCATCTAATGGGTATCCAAGCCGTCTTGAACCCTGACCGACGTATCCAACTTCGGAACCAGGGGGTATCTATAATAATCATAGCTAGAAATAAGTACTTTACATCGTCGCGCTCGGGAGCTCGGTGAGCCCTAAAAAAAAGGAACACGAGGTTAGTAAACTAGAATTTGAAATGTGTGGATAGGGGTATTCTAGCACTTACATCCGTCGACATCCTCGTTGATGGTCTGCGGCTTCTTGCAGGCGGTAGCCTGGGCCGGGGTCTGGGTCTTGAGCTGCGAGCACTGGTCGTTGGAGCAGCGGGCGTCGAGGGCGCGCTGCAGGGCATCTCCCTTCCAGCCGAACATGTAATCGCCGTGCCAGCCGTATCCGGTCGAGTCGTTCATGCTGTAGACGAAGGGCTGGGAACCATCCTCGGGCCAGATCGAGGGGTCGTTGAATTCCCGCGTGTCCCACATCACCTCGTACATGACCTGGGGGATTTTTATGGGGTGTGTGGAAGGGCACGCGCTGGACATCTCGAAGCTGCCGCTCGAGGGGTATGCTACGTGGCTCTTATGGTCGGGGCTGTCGAGGTTCTTACCGTCCCAGCAACTAGAGAGATTGGGGGTGGTTAATCGTTAATTTCTAATCTATTCAGGGGTTAAGGGGAAAGAGACGGGTATGTGTAACGAGGGAGTTTATGGTGGGCTAGTACTTACGTTGGGAAAGTAATGGTCGCACGGATACCTCCATCACATTGCTATTATGAGTTAGTAAGAGTCCTTCAATTAATCATGTGAAATTATGGCTTTTAAACACGATTGAAAAAGGGGAATCCTCAAGCACCACATACCTTGTTCGGGAGTGCGGAAGTATCCATCTGGCTGTCGGCACAAGGGGCGCCTCCGAAAGGAGTCTGGTTGACGTTGGTATAGCAGCGGTGGCATAGCTGCTTCTGTTGGCCTTGAGCTGTCCTTAACATAGCTTCACCGACGAGCATACGGAAACCCTAATACTTTAATCAGTCGATATCCGAACAATATAATGTTGTTGCTAACATACCGGCTTGAAGGCTGTGACCTTGGTGTAGCCATCATACGGCGGAATATAGTATACGGTCATACCCTCCTCGCCTTGTAGACCCTATGATATAAAAGTTAGATAAGTTCACTGCTGAATAGACATTTACACTTACAAGGTTGACCATCTGCTTCACTCGCTTGTAGGTACCGTTGCGGGCCTTGAAGTACAAGTTCGCGGTCCAGTAGTTAGAGAAGTCCTCGCTGAACGAGCAGGTTGTGCAGGTCGACTCGGATGGAAGGTCGTAGTCGATAGGAGCCATTGTAGCGTTGAACGAGTCTCCACCAACGACCTGGTGAATATGGGGCGACTGGATGAGACCCGGAGATACAAGGGGGTCTACTCGCTCAACAACTAGCCTGCCTTCAGTCTTAAAATTTGCTTTTCTTGTCCCAAGTTTTATGTCTGAGAGCTTACCTAGAGCACTGGAAGCGCATCATAGCAGCTTGAGCATACTGGGCAGAAACCTGCAGCGGGCTTGCCGCGGCAGCTAAGAAGAGAGTCTTCCACTGCATGTTGATAGAAGAGTAGGTACCTAAGCAGCCGGGTGTGATCTACACAAGGTAAGGTTGTGCTGAGCTGTAGATCAGAAGAAACGTCGAGAAAGGAACAGGACAGGGAACGACAAAAACATTATATATTTGATAACATCCTGGAAAAGCTGGGAAACAATCATTTTTGATGTCGTCGTGGCATGGCCACCGGGTAAAGGTGCTTGCTCTTTGGATAAAATGCTCTTCCCCGGTCTCCATACAACTGCCGAAGAGAAATGTCAAAATAAAATTTGGCCGAGGGATCAATTAACTCCGAGTGGTCGTAAAGCTTCCAAGACAGTTTTTTTATTGGATAGGAGTAAAAATATATTGCATTGGGCACGGGTTGTGCGGTGTCCTACTCCAGATATTCTATATTAAGATACATGCGGCACCCAAAGTTGACCTGGTATAGCATACTGACACCCCTGTCCGTCTTGCTCTCGGAGAACGGGAAGAGATGATCGGTGGCGAGAATAACTGTGCTAGGAATATAGACGCTTATAATATTTCGGTTTTGACGTTTGGTGGTGAGAGGTTATCAATAAGAAACGGTATAACCATGTTCTGCCTTTGATTCGACCAGTTCATCTGGAATAGTGCATTTCGCGTACAAGCCAACCCGAAAGTAAATAAAAATAGAGGAGGCCCATCGTCCCGATAGGTAACGATGAACACCCAAAACCATATATCTGTTGATATGGGGCGAAAAGCAGCCGCGCCGGCTAACAAGAATGATATTTGCAGACCCTAAAGTACTCCCATTGCTTTGGCCACCCTACTATCGAATAGCATATACGACTTGGTTGGCCGTGTGAAAGTAAGTAATAATCCTAGAGCAAGGCATATTGCACCTAGAAGAATGGGAATTCTGAATAGCCTTGTGGCTTCTGATCGAGGCTGGTTATCCTCGTTCATCCGGGGCCAAGAATTCTGCATCAGTATACAGCTTAACATGTCCGGGAGAGGATTGGTATAGGGATTACAATTCTCATGGAAAAGAATGTGTTTTGGTATTCCGTTACGGCATTGCCTTATTTCCCGTTCTGCTATCTGGCTGCCTGCGTGTACGAAACTAAATGCACCAAGATGCACCATGAAGAACTAATACGCCAAATCGATGTGCTCGACGAGCAGGTCTTGATGTTACGAGCCCGCTACGACTGGATAGAAAACAAACATTTCATTTAGTCTATTCTGGGGGTGACGGACGGACCGTCCAAGTGCCAATCCCTTATCGCAGAAGCTAAAAAGGGGCAACTTGAACTTTGCCGACCTTGTAACATATTATAGGCCATCGCTTCAGGAATGGCTCAAAAGGTCAGATGGGTAGGTAAAGCCATTTTGGACTGTAGAAGTCTAGCTTGGACTAAGAAAAGGTAGATCATAAAGGACCAGAGCCATGATACTGAACTAAATAGACGAGACATAGTTTTGACTTGCAACAACAAAGCCTCGAGGATTTACTAGCTTAAAGAATCTCTTGATCATGATATACATGATATACTTGTACCTAGAGTAGGTAAGTATTCATAGATTATATATTCAGCGGCTAGTAAGGGGCTTATAAGAATACTCTCAATAATCTACTGCATCGGTAATACAACCCTTGACCCCGTGCTGCGACCATTCGGAAGTCATCCTCACAATATAAATGAATATCATTACACTATAGAAAGGCCGAATGTGGGTGTAACAAGGTCTGTATAAGGGCTTGGAATAGATTCAGATTACTAATAATTTTCTAAGGTCTCGAGGTCCTTGATGATCTCTCTATCTCATTGTGAGGAGATCACGGCCTCTTTGTAGACGATTCTAAGAGATGTATCCCCGTATCTCATTGCCCTTTCGGCTGTATGTTAGCTATCTCGCATACTGCCTGCAGCGTCTTGTGATGTGCCTCATCCAGTTGTTCTGATCGTAGTTATCTTAACCCCTTATTGAGTCTAGGCTGTATTTTTAGATTCCAGTCTAGGCCATGTTGTCCGTATGACAGTGGGGTATAGTGTAGTTAATGAGGTTGTATCTTGAGTTATTCGTATAATTCGGTCATCTTTCGTTTCGTATCGTATCATATTCATGCTTTTAGGTTGACGACACGCCACATCTCATCAAGCTTGGTTTGTCGAGGTAATTGCACCTTCACTCGGTTCATATGACATAATAGACGAAGTCAATTAGGAAATAAGTTACCTACCTGAGGTAATTACTACTAGGTAGATAGAGAGGATGGAGTTCTTGAATATAGAAGTTAGAAAGCGTAGAAAGGCGACCTAAGCCCATCTTTCACAATGTACTGAGTTAATTCTCCAAGTTGCTGCGTTCAATGTCGAAGAAGCCCTGATGGAATGGGATCCCCTAAGCCAAGGTTGGTGTCTTCCCATTGAGAAGTATGATGAGGTGATGGAGTTCAATCTGGCGTTTCGTGGTCTATATCGTGAGAGTTCGCTCGTAAGTTACCCCTGAGTTTTTATTTTTTTTTTCTCAATAAGGCAAAGCGTCATATACCATGGAGGTAGTCATTTTATATACTAACTGCCTCTTGTCAAGGGGCTTCGTAGTTGAAAACGTAGCGGATAAAATGTATGGCCAATGTCTATTCTGTACCTAGGTACCTTCAAGTACCTTAGATTAGGTAAGCAGCTAAGGTACATATTCTCGCTGTTATCTCATATCAGCTGCCAACAGCTGGAGAGGGGCACCTAAGCTATTAGCGGACGCCACCGCCAATTCCCGCCTGTCGGGTCGCCTCCCTCAGCTGATTGTCCTTATTAGCCAGTTTTGCGATATCGAGCTATTGAGGCATTGAGTCGATGAGTCGACGAGGTCCCAATTAAATCTTACGACCGTATAGCCAAACTTACGATCGTCTAGATAGTGCCTCCAAGTGCTCGGCCTATTGCTTTACTATAAAATCGTTCAATTCCGGGGTGGTACACGATGTCGAAGCGACAATTGGGCCAGTTCATATTACGGCCACAACTTGGAAGAGCCAGCCGTCCTCCTCGACGAACATTTACAACTGCTTCGAATACGACTAATAGGTTCCGTTGGGTTAACAGAGTTGCAATTGCCACTATTTCGTTATCTGGTCTAGCTTACACGATGGTATTTAGTCCAGTCGAACCCTCTTACATGGCTCTAGATCACCTAATTAACCAATTTGTCTTCTATTGTAGGCGACTCAGAAACCAGTCAAATTCGACGCTCGCACACTCGCCGAACTCGACGAAAGGACGAAACGCGAAAAAGGCGTAGACGAGAATTCTCCGATGCGTTTGCGCATGGAGAAGTTCATTCGCGAACAGCAAAAGGAGATCGTCTTCGAGCTTGAAAAGGTAGATGGCATGCGCTTCCGCGAGGACACGTGGACGAGAGAGAAAGGAGGTGGCGGCGTGTCCTGTGTCCTACAGGAAGGCAACGTATTCGAAAAGGCTGGTGTAAATATCAGTGTTGTCTATGGGACGTTACCGAAACCGGCCATCTCGAAGATGAGGGTCCACCATAAAAATATCGCAGAGCAAGACGAGGTCGACTTTTACGCCCTCGGCTTGAGTATGGTGCTACATCCCCATAATCCGATGGCGCCGACTGTTCACTTGAACTATCGATACTTCGAGACGATGCGGCCGGACGGAACTCCACAAGCTTGGTGGTTCGGCGGAGGAAGCGATCTAACGCCAAGCTACTTGTTCGACGAGGATGCGGTGCACTTCCATAAGACGATGAAAGACGCCTGCGACAAACATAACAAGGACTATTACCCCAAGTTTAAGAAATGGTGCGACGAGTACTTTTCTAATACGCACCGAGGTGAGTCTAGGGGTGTAGGTGGAATCTTTTTTGATGACCTAGATGAGACCGTGGCCGACGCCGACAACATATTTGCATTCATTCAAGATTGCCTGAAGAGCTTCTTGCCTTCTTACCTGCCAATTATCCAAAGGAGAAAAGATATGCCCTTTACCGAAAAGGAGAAGGAGTGGCAACAGGTGCGAAGAGGCAGGTATGTCGAATTCAACTTGGTCCATGACCGCGGTACGGCGTTTGGCTTGAATGTTCCCGGATCAAGAGTCGAAAGTATTCTGATGAGTCTTCCCTTAACGGCGTCTTGGCGTTACATGTACGAACCGGAGCCAAGGAGTCGAGAGCAGAGACTTCTCGAAGTTCTCCAGAACCCTAAGGAATGGGTATAATGCTTTCTCGTTTAGAAGATAAGGTTATGTATTATACGGGAAAGGCGCAAGAAAGACTTAAGAATAGGAGATTTATGAAGGGATGGTGTATATAAAAAGAGAAACCTGCCGTATATAGGATAGAGATATGTAAAAAGTCATGACCAAATCACGTTGTTTCGCTATACGACTTGCACTCGATCGCGTTTGTTAAACCAGCACGGAAATTCCGATGAATTAGGACGGGTCGGAATGGTACCGCAGTGGACCCGACAGGACGGAAACAGTTTAAAGTTTTTGGCGTTGGCCGTTGAAATGTCCCGAACGCACGTGCCATATTTTAAGCCCTGCAAGTTGTAAGGTGGAATAATCTCGGTGGGGCTGTGACAGACGCGGCAGGACAAGATTGGGAAAGGACGTGCCCTGTAGGGTGGTCAGGGTGGTGTCATTAAAGAAATGGAAAGGACATGAACTCGACTTAGAAACTCAAAAAAACAAGCTTGACTCCAATAATGACATAGAAACTAAACAACACTTTCTTTTTCTCAACCCAATCCGACCCCTCAACTGAAATATCCTGGCATTACGTTGTTTACAAACGTCTTACGTCGCCTGTGATCTTTGGTTAACGAGACGAGTTAATGTATATATACAACACGGTAACTGCCTTATGTTCAGAGACTGCGCCGATCCTCGATATCGTGACGATCCATTTTTCCTATATAGGTACATATGCGACAGCACTGCGAGCGAACAACCCATCTTCCTGATACCACGAAAGCTGTCGCGTAATACAACTTTCCTTGCCGACGCATTGCATCTGTCTCCAGGAACCTAATACCATTCCCGTCCGAGTCATGTTCGGGTTTGGTCTGCAAGATCTAACTGATTAGATCCAGCCCATCGGAATGCTCTCACATCTTCGCTTCCATAGACGGGGTCCGTCCAATCCTTCATCTCCCGTACCCGAAACCAGCCCTTGGGATACTACTGCTCTTCAACCAACCCAGCTGGTCCCTGACGATGGCGTCCCAGCGCCCGAGATTCGACCACGATCCGCCACTTCCGTACCTTTTGCCCATGGACATGGTCAGCCTCCCTCGCAGCCGGCGCCACCTCAGTCCCAACAGCCTCCCTTACAGCATAGCCAGCCGCCTACCTTGCCACCAATTTCCGGCATTTCGTCAGCCGAGTCGGACCTAGCGATTGACCTAGAAAAATTTGAACATAAGCCACGCGAAGAGTCGAAGCCTTTGCCGCGGTCGTCTTATAAGGGGGATAGCGGGTTTATTGGTGGACTAGCTTTGCAAAATTACCGTCGGGAGCAGGCGGCATTGAGACCGGACTCATTAGATAGGAATACAGCCCGCGCGTCGGAACCCCCTCCGTCGTTTACCACTTATTCTGGCGTGGCCAATTTTCCAAGTCGCCCAGCGCCGCCGGTAAAACCCATTAAGGCCGCGTCTTCCTTCACTCCACCTGTTCCTCTCCAGAATGCAAATACGACAGGTAAACGGCCACCAGGCGCTAGAATGGTGTCAGATTCACAGGCCTCTCATGGTCAAGATGCCCCGAAAGGAAAGAAAAGCCTCCCTTTTCTGAAAAATCCTATGTCTACGTTGCTTCTGCGGAGAAAAACCAGTCAGAATGCACCGGAACTCACATTGCCGTTACGTGGTCAAGATGAAGAACCTTCATACGATCCTCGGATTAGAGGCACCCGAGTCCATGATTTCAGTGCTCCACGACCGAGGAAGGTTGTACCGAATAATGAACAAGTTAATCCAGGGGTCGAACAGCATCGTCAGGATGTTGTGTCACCTACTATAGAATATAATTCATCTGTTGTAGGGGTACCTCCGGTTCCTCCTAAGGAAGACAATTCTCAGTCTACTCGATCGTCCTCAGCAAATTCTCGGACAATATCAGTAGATACCACGTTTTTACAGAAAATCCGGGGCTCAGTGAATAGCGGTTCTAATATTGAGTCTAGAAATGGACGGAATAGCCAGAGGAGAACAAATTCGATTTCCCCGTCGTTAATGTCATTATCTCGCAATGGATCAGAAGCGTCTAGCCGAGACGTCCTTTCGTCGATTCCCAGACATATGAAAAGTACATCTTCACGGTTTAGTTTTGATATGATTGGTGCTGCGAAGCAGGAGAAGTTGCTGGAAGATAGACACCGGCAGCGACAACAAGACAAGAAAACGGACGAGCCCCTCGAACAGAGGGATTCTCGCTTCGATGATTTCGATGAAGACGCGTTTGACTATGATGCGATGGATTATGACGATGGCCTTGAAGAACGTATACCGGGTGTTAATGCGGACTTGGACGAAGACTTCGCCGGTGCAGATGACCCAGATAATGACCAGGAAAATTTTGCGGGCTTCTCCTTTCAAAGATCTAATCCCGTGTCAGAATTAGCCAGTCCCCGTAGCACCGGAGTATTGCCTACGCCCAGAGATGCAAATGGCAGTGTCATTGGCTATGCAACGACTCGAGAGATGATAGATGTTCCCCAGCCCTTAGATATTACCACCAAGGATCTAGATGAAACTCCTGTAAGGCAGGCATCAGAACAAAATACCCCGACGGGACTAGGTATACAAGGACTCGAAGCTGTCAACGAAATGTCTGAACAAGTATTATTTCAAAAACAGGAACAGAACGGAACAACACGACAGCTCTCTAAAGACGACGAGCTTTATTTTGACGATGGGTTGATCCATGATTTTGACGGGGAGGGAGATGGATCAGCGTTTGATGAGTCTATATTCGATCTTGAGGATACTGATAAATATGGTCGTCCAATTCCCGGATTGTTCGCCAATGCGCTCTCGCAGAGAAAAGCTGTCGAGGAGGCAAAAAAGCGAGAATCTGATATGACTTCTAGATTGTCGGCGCAATCCGATTATTCAGAATCAACGGCCCACACCTCGCTCAGTGCCGGCCTCCAGTCTAAACCGACCGAATCTGAGCCCAAAGTAGAGACACAACCATTTGTCGAGGAGCGGAAATCATCGGTTGTTGGTCTAGACAATACAGGGCAGGACCAAATAGCAGCTTACCAAGCGGCTCTGGCATTAGCAGCCCATCAAGCAGCAGCTTCTGGGAAATTTCGAAGGGATTCATCTCCCCCCCTGCCTGCTGAATTAACAGTTACGTCTCCGACAACGTCTACGTCCTCCCACGCCGATAACCTCGATGATTATGAATATGACAATGGATTATCCGCAGGGCTAGATGACTATGAGCTTGACGACGACGATATTATCGCTGAGGCGAACGCCAGCGCTCTTGCTAACGATTCGGATGGTTGGTATGGACAAGAGTTTGGATTTTACTCTGCACCAGCGCAGTTACCAACCCATCACAATGCCAACGCGCTTAGCGAGAAGAACTTATATCATTATTCTCACGGGGGTTACTTCGGTCCCAGCGGTATCAATCAAAGTACCTCAGGTCGTATTGCCTCACGCGAGCCGAATTTGACGCCTATCACAGAGCGCTCCGAGTACTCGAATCGAAACTCAATCATGAGCTTAGGCATACCCCAAAGCACAAATCCTAATGGGCCTTTGCAAAGTCCCGGCTTAGCTCAGCTCGCAATGATGGCAGACGATGATAACATGTCACTATCAGCGCTGCTTCGTCTACGCTCCAAAGCATGGGGTGGCTCCCAAGCGTCACTCGTCAGCTCGCGTGAGGGCTCGCCTAACGATAGAAACGGCGCTACTAGTCCATGGGGTCAAGATCTTGGTATCGCAGCTTCGCACGGACGTAAAAATTCCGCCTTTTCTATCTTTAGTCAAGACTCTGCCGGAGCAGGAAGTGGCTCAGGTAGCCCCACGCTGACTATGTCCATGTCTGGCATACCTAACAATTCTATTCCACCTCCCACGGTGCCTTCTAATTCGAACCCCACTGTCGCAACCTCCCCTTCCAGCTTACCGATATTTTCCCCCTTACAACCTTCGTCAGTTTGCCCACCTGTCTTTGAAGATGAGGAGTCCAGTCCACTCGACGAAAGACGGACTGACATTGTGAGCCCGAGCCTATCGGCATCAAGCACGATGACAAGACCACCCAGTGAAAATATGAGCCCAACAATTGGTCTACCTTCCCAAAAGGGACCAGGTATGGGTCATAGGCATAGAGGAAGTGCAGACAGTATCTCATACACGAAAGAAGAAGATAGTGGGGAAATAAGATGGATAATGGAACGACGCCGAACCGCAGAGTCGGGCGAGATAGAGATCCTTGGCCGACAAGTGGTTGATAGAGGCAGGATTTGACAAGTTTTGAGATAACCGACTTGGGTTACAACGATGGTTTCTCACTTGGGACGTGGGCGTAGTAGGGCCGGCGTACATTTTTAAGTGGGTGGTATATGGAATGTTTCTTCTCGTCTATATATTACGCACCCTTTGGACTATGGCATAGCACTAGAGAAATCGAGGGTTGGAGTAATAGATACCTACGTATAAGGGTTTGCTGGAGTATAAAAAGTATGGAGTCATTTGGCTTTCCTGGGTTGGATGAATGGAGGCTATTGAGCACGGGTTGGTCTTAACCGTGTACATCTACGCAGACCTTTGTATACCTAAAGTATAATGACGCCTTTGGCTCAGGGGTCGTATTGATGACCCCTTAATTATCTGACGAATATCGCTTTACTTACGAGCTAGGTTAGATTGTTGTACGCGTTGTTAAAACTGGAAAAGGATAAATCATGAGAATTTTGACAACACCCAATAGAATTAGGTACCTTGGGTAAGTACCTTTATTAGGGGTCAGGGGGTAGAGACATCAAATGTCTGGTGGCAAATAATACATAGGTACAACGAATATCAAAGTCGACTATGGCTGACGTCAGTGCAGCTGAAAAACAAGAGATGCTGAATCTTGTGGAGTTGTTTACATAAATTTACATAATCTAGCCTTACAACTTTTACGCGTCCATCACGTCCAGGCTTATTAGATCTGAGGACGATAGACCTGAGAAATCGACTTAACTGAGACGTTCAAGCCACATGCGTAACCTGTGGAGCTCCATATGCCATATGCTATTGCATCATCATCTCTCTCTCAAGATCAATAAATTAGGTAGATACCGACCAGCTTATATTCATCCAACCCTCCGTGTACCCCTATTTTCAAGTAATTCATGTCTTCTGAAAACACCCAAAATCTTATACGAGTCGAAGCTCACAATGAAGCCATTTCCAGAAGTTAAGAGCAACGTGCCTCCAATGAGGTCAAGGCTACCCCGTACTCTCCGGTCGAGATACACATGGCGATTAATAGTCGTCATCTTCATTGTTTCTTGCTACCTTTTCTCTCTGCCTCCATTTCCTCGACCATTACCTGGTTACAGCGGTCCGTATCCCGTCGGCGCAGTTGATGTCGAGACACCCTTAGCATCACCGCGCATCATCGATACGGCGCGATTTAAGGAAGCGAAAGAAAACGCATTTGAGTTAGATACGGTATTATTTACATTATATTACCCAGCAATCCAGCATGCCACTCATCGTCAAGCGAAGCATCACTGGATTCCAAAACCGATATCTCTTACTGCCGAGGGTTACGCCAAGTTCGCCCATATCAACAATGTCATCATGAACAAGGTCATGACAGGAGTACTCAAAGCTCTTGTCGGACACATTCAAATTCCAGCTCAAGTTGACGTACCGTTGGCTGACCTTGTATCTGCGGTGACAGCGATACCGGAGACCCAGGACAACATCGAGGAGATCGAGAAAGTCGTGCAGATTAAAAAAGGCGGGCACCCGGTCATTGTGTTTTCTCACGGCATGGCAAGTAGTCGCACTGATTATACGCACTATGCTGGTGAACTTGCATCACGGGGTTATGTTGTTGCGCTACTCGAGCACAGGGACGGTTCATGTCCCGGGTCCGTCGTCATGGAGCAGGGAAAACCGGATCGCGTGAAACTAACCTTCGACGTTCCGGAAGTAGAGACGCCGAGCGGAAAGGAGGTAACAGTGGATGAATTCAAACGAGCACAGCTTGACTTCCGGGAGGCGGAGATCGAGGAAACTGTGCGAGTCTTAAAGTTAATCAATGAGGGACGAGGAAAGGAGGTGTTCAAATCAAACATGCGGGACGAAGGTGTCGACTTCGTAAATTGGAAAGGCCGCCTGAACACGGACGATATGATCGTCGCAGGCCATAGCTACGGCGCTACCGGCGCGATGCAAGCTCTACGAGGCGGCCCTAGCGCAAAACGCCCCTTTAAAGGCGCCATCATCCTAGATCCAGGCAAGCAGAGCGGCCGGCTAAACGACGACATCCGGGTACCAGTCCTCGTCATCCACAGCAACTCGTGGAGCAGCAAGTACAGCCTATTCTACGGGCGCGCGCACTTCGATACGGTCCGGGACATCGTCGAAAACAACGTTTTGCGGGGAATGCCATCGTGGTTCGCAACGTCGCTTGGGACATCGCATCCATCGGTCACGGATGCGCCGCTGCTGGAGCCGTTGCTGCTCAGTTGGACCACCGGGGCGCGGATCGATGTGTACCAGGGGCTGAGGGTGTATGTGCATGTATCCGAGGATTTTCTATGGTTCTTGTCTACGGGGGAGAAGAGAGGTTTACTAAAGGAGAAGCCTGAGTTTCCGCAGTACGATGAGGGGAGGGGGTTTGGCGTATGGAAGCCGGCACAGGGCGAGAATGAGAAGACGGGGGGACCTTGGTTTGACTGGAGGAGGTATTGGCAGGTTCATGTTTCGCCGAATTAAGATGTATATGGTATAGGAGGTAGGTTAGGTATGAGGTATGTAAGAGATAGATGGGAGGGGGATAGATCATGATGCTTTGGATACCTTGTTGCTATATCTAGAATATCGTATATTATAAATGTTAGAATTTATACGGTTCTCCAGCAAGACACTTATTATAAGCCAACCGCGTGTAGCTCTTCGTCACACGCGAAAGTTGTGGAACTCCCGCAATGTTTTATATCCCTCTTCCTCGACATGTAAGTCCCCTGGACCCCACAGCCGCCGAGCGCATATCTGTGTTCATGATAGGCCACAAACTTTGAAAAGATCGAGACGCTGACGTTGTGGCTTAAGTAGGCCAATCGGAATATCCCACCTCACGCCTCTATTTATACATATAGTAATTAAGGATCAATATCTGCAGGGAGAAGTTATTGACGGCGTACAGAATGTTACCAGCCAGTGTAATCCAAGACAAGCCCCTAATTAGAGCAGAATTAATTGATAAGGTCAGACCAAGAGGGCAGATCAAATATCACTCCTCTTCTTGGAGACACGAATTCTAAGCGTCACACATGTCTCCTATGCGCATAATAATATATCGATCACCATCTCTTTGAGCATAATCTAATATCTAATCGGGCGAGCGATGTCAGATCTCGGGCCTTTGACGACAACATTTACGCCGGCGTCTGGGTGTAACTCTATTCTTTCGGGAATCGTATACACGCAGACTCTACAGGATGGCAACACGACTACACACAAGTACCATAGTCTAGGGCCCAGTGCCACGTCCGAGTGCTACCCACCAGGGTTTGAACCCGCGTCTGGCTTTTACTCCCCCGGGATCTGCCCGTCAGGTTGGTGGTCGGCGTGCGGAACGCTCGACGCTATCGCAACTCTTACCGAGACTAGAGCGACCTGCTGTCCGCTGTATGTTGACTAACACCCCACCGCTTGATTATAAGGATAGTAATTTCTAACGAGAAATAAATTCCTCAGCGGATATGTGTGCATACAGAAGCCAGATCCGACTGAGACGTGGTCGACCTTGTCCTGCTCATCGTCTGCTATCTCGTCTGTCTCCGTGACAGTTCCGGACCTGTCTAATCAGATAAGCAAAGTTACTGTACTGAGCGGGATTGTCATACATGCCGCAGCGATCAACATACGGTGGCAGAGGGGCGATTTTATAGCATCTCGCACGAACACGCCGACCACTTCAGCAACATCTTCTCTATCGTCCTCTCTTTATCAACCTCCAGCGCCAAGCGGAACTGAGATAGCTAATGAGGACACAGAAACGGGGCTTTCCTTGGGCGCGAAGATAGGCGTCGGCGTAGGTGTAGGACTGGGGGGGTTGCTCCTAATCTCAATCGCGATTGGTATCTGGTTATGGAAAATACGCCACCCCGAGGGGAAAGAGCAGCAGAGAAATATGACCATGCGCCACCCGCCCAATCTTGGGGCTTCGAAAACGCCGGCGGAGTTGTGGGAGCAGGACCAACAAGAGATGCAGACTACGAGTAATACGCACGAAATGGCCACGGAGAATAATCGACATGAGATCACGGGTACTCCTAGGCCCGCCGAGCTGCCTCATGAGAGTTGGAGGTAGTTTTTCCGGAATGTGGATATCATGTTAAACGTCTGTGGGAAGCCCTATTTCTTCCGAAATTGGTGGTAGATTTCCTCTAATATCAAGTAGAACTATATCTATACGATTTTATCGTGGACGCTAGCTATTGCATCGAGCGTTAATATTAAATTATAATTCTCCTAGTGCTAAATGATCATGGGACATTCATCACACTAATAGTGACCTTATTAGTTGTGCTCGGGGGTAAATGACCCCCTCCCGCAATCAGAAGAGACTCGGGATCCTCCTGGAAGACATGTAGAGACCTGGTATACGAAGCTCCCTCCGGCGTCGATACCTTGTTCCACGCATTTTCAGCTCCTAGCACCTTGTTGATGTAGATTTCAGAACAGCACCCCGAAGACACGATGATCGTTCCATTCTCACCGCCGGCTGAGGACCATACGACATATGGCGAGCCGGTTGGAACCGTACCATCGGTAGTCCTCAAAACATGATGAGTCGCACTGTTAAATTTCTCGGGATCGCTGGAGAGGCGGTAGTAGACCGGGAAGGAACCCGAGTTTGCTGGGTTCGGGCCTCCGCCGTACTCGTACGTGAAGATGTATTGGCCGTTCGGGAGTAATGCTGCTGATGGCATTCCCGGACGTTGGCTGTATGTAGGATAAGCCACATCGTCGACTACGGGACCCCAGTTGCGCAAGTCAGTGGTAGTTTGGTGGACCATCTTCTGGCCGTGTTTCGCGTCTCGCTGGTCTGAGTAATAGTAAATAAGCTTGCCGTTATGAAGTAGCAAGAATGGCTCCCAGACAGGAGTCAAGCCATTGTTCGGCCTGGCTTCGCCTCCGGCAGCAACATGGCTGAGGAATTTCCAGGTTTTGCCGCTGTCCGAAGATGCATAGATATCAAGTTGAGTCTTCGAGAGGTCTGTCGGGATCGACGAACCGGCTAGTAGCACATCCCCTTTCTTGTAACCTGCGAAATCCTCTGGCAGCACATAGAGGAATGGCTGGTACCGTAATCCGTATCCGTATCCTTGGTCCTCGACTTGAGAGATCTTCGTCCACGTGGCGCCTTTATCGCTAGATCGATAGATGGGGAAGTATACCGGAGGGGGTTCCGGGCTATAATTCTCCCAAGTTGCTAGGATATCGTCATTCGGGAGTTGCGCTGTGCGCGCATACAGAACTCTCGGGTCCGTGTAAGTGGAAGGCGGAGTGTAGATCACAACCTGCGAAAGTTCTTTTATTGCGGACGATTGCGATGCCGCAAAAGTGCCAGTAGAAAGCGAAAAGATGGCCAATGCGGCCAATAATAAACGATCGTGGAGCAACATTTCGACTACGACGTAAATTAATCCAGCTCCCCGACAGAACTTACAAGTCGAGGATCTACACCCCATTTTCATCTTTACCGTTTTCTAGGTAATTATATACTTGCATTTCGGACTATCCGGTTAAACCCGTTCAGAGCATTCGCTATGCTCTCCGCCGAACAGCTCCGCAAAAACAAGATCTTCCCATGGTACCCCAGATTTTAGTCGAGCCAATCAAAGGGCCTTGTCCGTGACGAACATGGTAAAGTGACGGCCCAGACCTACGCCGATTCATGGAAATATCCCGTAGGTTTAATAGCAGCCATATTAAGGTCGTATCTCATCATCTAGCACAAACGGGGCGACCCAGTTCCCTGTGGGGAGGCTGGGATAACTCATTGATTTCTCCTCTTTCTTCGCATAAGCTGGGTTACGAAGCGGCTTGTCGTCTCCAGGATTCTCCTTACGCGCACCACTAGAAAGGCCGTAATAAGCCAAATGAGCCTCGCGTAGTCTTGGGCAAATTATCTATATTCTAGGCGCCACTATCCTATAAATAGTAGTTAACTCATCTCAGTACTATATATATCATTCCTGTCAAAATTATGGCCATATTGTGTAGGTAGTTTGAGCAGCATAATATTATTCAGTTGACTATAAAGTCCTGTAATAGCTAAGTGATAATCATGGGAGGTTAACGTCGGTTATCCTCATAAAATAACAAGAGAATCACGCCGACCATAAGTTCAAAATAGTCTATATTATCTAGTGAGAACGGACGGACAGCCCCAGTGTCACGAGGTGACTAAACATGTCCTTTGTTCTGGATGTCTCATTTCAGAATTCTGACGCCCAGCCCAGTATCGTATCTATAATTATAAAGACTTGACGACAGGAGTAAATGAAATACTAGTTAGACGTGGTATTTAATTACCTATACTTTGACATTGAGTCTTTAACCTCTGGATGTAGGAACTAGAGGAGAATTGTTTCACTTAACTATCGGCATTGAGACAATTCCTTATAGACGCTCTGCTAATTAAGTTACTCCGACTTTCTTTATCAGCTAGTTAGGTCCAAATCACAATAAGCTATCCCCTTAACTGAGATACAACTGCGCCCCGCTATAATTGTGTATAGTACGCAAAGCTCGGCGTCGTTCATTAACATATTGAGATTAGTCTCGAAAGCAATATGATTGGACAAGCTAATACCACACAAACCTATGACAAGAGAAGTTATTACTAAAAGTGCCAAAAGGGTTCCTATCAGGGGTAAGCTTACCTAATTACTTAGAACAGAAAATCAGTAATCAGACAAGACGGGGAGTATGACCTTAGCTGCTCCTATACATCATATTAGGAGTGATTTATCCTTTCAAGGATTACTAAAGGTACCTAGTTGTCGCATTTTCGCGTTCTTCGGCGTAGCGTTCGTGAGGCGCGAAACGCGAAATCAGCATTAACATAAAATCCATATACTTCAACCAATATGACTAAAATTCGATTACCACGAATCACTAACAACCTTAACCATAATTATCAATCGGGGTAACAGATACCCCGATAATGACAAATCGTAGCCCTTATATAATTAGGTAGTTAGAAGTCCTCTATATCATTTATTTAATGCTTGGTATTGGAAACCATATCTATAATCAACAACAGTTTATTTTCCTAACCAATATGCCTCGAAATACTAGTGCTACGCCTGATCGACCCGGCCGATGGATCGTATCTAAATTCGGCGGCCCGGACGTCTTGAAATGGGATACCTGGGATCCATACGCTGAGAAGTTACCAGCCGACCATGTTATTGTACGGATCATAATAGCTGGCATTGCTGGAACGGACAATATCCAACGGGTGGGAGGTTATCCTGACCCTCGTTGCTCGAAGCCAGGATTCACACTGGGGTACGATTTTGTCGGTGAAGTCGTCACTCTGGGCGCCTCGGCATCGAAAGAAAACCCCCTGTCTGTGGGAGACCGCGTCATGGCTATGTTTGGAGTTGGTGCCTACGCAACTCACATTATCTTGCCCGCGGCTGAGCTTATTCGTATTGACAAGACGGATGATCCGGTCAAAGTTTCTACTCTCCCGCTCAACTATTCAACGGCCTTCGGGATGCTGAAGCGGGCTGTGACAAACCTTGTCCCTGGCTCAAGTATCTTGATCGGTTCTGCAAGCGGAGGTGTTGGGACGGCGATAGCGGAAGTGGTACGAGCGTTTAAAATGGACTTAAAGATGATAGGGACATGTTCGCCATCGAAATTCGATTATGTGAAATCCCTCGGGGTAATCCCGGTCGACCGCCATGCGCCCGACCTCGTAGATCAAGTCCGGGCTTTGACTGGCGGCGAAGGGGTAGACGTGGCGTATGACTCGGTGGGGAGCGAAGAGAGCATCCAAAGAAGTTTCCAGGCGACGAAAAAGGATATCGGGCAAGTCATAATAATTGGCGCCATGTCGGAGATTTCTACTGATGGATCCGGACTACGGCAAAGCGGACTCGACCTTAGAACCGTGGTTAAGCAGCGACTACAATCAAGAATGAGACTATGGAGTGCCATTGCCGACTACAAGGCGATACAGAAACAGGTCTGGCTCGAGGACTTGCAGGCATTGTTGGAAAAGGTCCGGAGCGGGGAGCTGTCGCCGACGATCGCGAGGCTATTTAGACTCAGTGACGCTGTAAAAGCCCAGGAGTACCTTGTATCAGGCACGGATGTGAAGGGTAAGATGCTGTTTGTTGTGGATGAAGATCTGGCTACGCAGCATGGCTTGTAAAGGGGTTGGCCCATTTACAGTGCTATAGAGTACTCTCAATTTATACGTAATATTGTCGACCTAATAGCTACATATTTATATCATTTAAGTTTACTTAGACCCCTTAATAGTTACCAAGACATCTAATCTCCACCCCTCAAAGAATCATCCATTGTTTTATTTTACAGATAATGTTCCCATGTGTGTAAAAGGTTACATCGAGTCCTTAGATGCTTTCAAGGTACCATATATTAATCTAATCTGTCTCATAGATCTTCGAGGAGACACTGAAGGTACGTTTAGCTATTATCTCCTATGTTTCCAAGTAAGAATTTTGGTAGTCAACATTTTCACGCCAACAATAGTCTAAGCTTAACTCAAAACTGGGGATAGGATTCATTATATAGATCTAGAACTGTCTTATTTTCATGAGCGCTGGCCAAGTGTTTATCCAAGTCGTCGAATTACCTAGTATCACGGTGAGCAGTGGCTCGGAAATCATCAATATAAAATTTCTTTCTACCACTAGTCGTGTTAAGTTTCTTGACCCCAAGTTCATTGTTGTTATAGAGAGTACTGCGAACTTGAAATTCAAGACAACGGATATTGCTATGTAATCCACCAGACATTCTGATTCACTTTGTCGATCTTATTTGGGAAAGTTATAGGATAACCTTTTGGGTATCGATTCATGGTATTATCCTTCACCAAGACACTCTGATTTCCTTCTACGTGTAGCTAGAGAAAGGTCATTATGGGATGTATATCGCTGGATAGTATATACCTTACACTATTCTCTTTCGAACCTTCGAACTGATCGATAATACCTTAGCTTTATAGACTGAAGCATACCACGATTAGGCATGGATCATAGACATACTTACCAAACCCTAGAGTCTAGATCATCGTCGTGATATAATTCAAAGCTGGTTTTATAGCTTTCATAGTCATACCTCATCACCGGTCTCCAACCCTTCTATTTGAATCCTGCAAGCAACGGTAGTTTCCGTATGTCTAAGCTATAAGATAATTCTCCGGGACGGCACTCACTATATCATCCCGATAGACAGGGCCCTTGTCGTACGTTAAAGTGTCAGGCGCATGTCTTAAATATGACAGCGACCTTACGTTCAAAAGCGCCAAGAATGCCTCTAATGGCAAACAAATCAAGGCTTTGATCGGGAAACAAATCGCCGGCAACATTGTCGTTTGGTCTGGGTGGATTGATACGTCATTTGCCAATAACTTAACCGTCTTCAGGCTATCTATGCGCACGCCCTCCCAACCTACCTCAGACAGTGTAGAGCTCAAGATCCGAGAATTACGTGATACCTTAGGTGGTATCTTTGATGGATCTTTTAACCAAGACGGTATACAGTGCGTATAGTGTATAATTATCCACGTGTATATGTACTTCTTCCAAGCGTGTACATGTGGGCATGGTATTGTGGAACTAATAAGCGGGCTTTATTTGTATGTTGACAATACCACCACACAATTAAAGTGATGACGGACGTTGGCTTATTGGTTTACTAACGTTCTGTAGCATTGCCGTTGGCATTTTTGCTAGCGTAACGTATGAATACAGAAGAGGCAGAGTAGAATTCTCATCCCGCTTTGTCTCTTCTAAGACATCCTCAGAGCGGCAGAACTCGGACTAGATGCACCAGTCGGGAGAGCTTTGAGAGTTTGGCAGTTAGTTGCTAGCTTCGGAAAGTCTCCCCGCATCTAGCTTACCACACACACTTGCAGGGATTCGGAGTCCAGGACTTTCTTTTAACTGGTGGCCCTGATCCCGAGCATCAATGAGGCGGGTGCGCGATGCTTAATGCAGGGACACTGCCACTCTTGCATACGCACCATCATACCTATTATACAAATGCAACATACAAGCTCGTAAGCTCTCGGGGACCACATACGTAGGTACATAATGGTGGGGAGAGGGGATAGGAAGGGTTTGGAATTAGACTACCCTTACGATGGGACTTTCGTCTACATATGTATTGATGCTGAGTCTACAAGATAGAATATAAGCAGTAGAGGTCTAGCGCTGTGATAACATGAGCTTTTCAGTCAGTAAGCCTGGAATACGGGCATTAGGGTTGTGTGATCTATTACTTACCTGCCCACATAGTGGCGTGGGCACTTACATAGAGAATCCATAATAGCCCGAATTTCTATCACATCACACCGATACCGCAGCATCGTGGTGGGCTTGGTCACAGGAACAGGTACCTAGTCGTCTTCACGTTATGATCTACTTTTATTGCCTATAGCACAACAAAAGACGCAATATCTTATAGAGAATATATTATATCCCGTATAACATACTCTATGAGAATAGTAGTATGCGAGTGCGCGGAGTGGGGGTTAGTGAAGACAAATGAATTAGGTACAGTTCCCTCTTTACATCTCTGTTCCCCTCTACATAATGAGCAGGGTTCATATATGTGGGGGGAGGGGGGACACGGATGTCTCGAGCCTCTACAAGGAAAATCTCTAAGCATCCTAAGCCATGTGATGCTATAGAAGTAAAGAACAAGGTCGCGGCATAATTGATCAGAGAATCTTGCTGCATCTATGTTGTGGCAAATATTATACCCGAATAATCTGATGAGCCAGCAATATTGTCATGATAATTGCAACGGGAATATCGTCTTTAACTCTGCAAGTAGCCATTGAAGAAAATTTCGAAAACCCGGTTCCTATGTATGTATTAGAAACCATCCGAAGTCCGTTCCAAAGGGATTGTCCTCAGCGCCGCCAGACTGGGCCGTAACGACTATAAACGATGTGAAGAAAAAAGTCCGATTGATTGCGAAAGTGGGCGTATGTGCGCAGCCATCCGCTTCAAGGTCCAGATTTCATCTTCGTAGATCGTACGTCATACATCATACCAAAAACCTGACGTTCTCCTCTTATTGCTGTTTGCTTTCGAGCGTAGCACGTGGCCAAGAGAAATAAGCGTTTGAAGCCTGAAACTAGGGTGGCCTGATGTTGAGATGTTGAGAGTATACCTTGCGACGGATCACCTAAGATCTGCAAGCCCACGCTACTCGTCATAGCGTAACGGATCTTTCCATAATTCTCCATACCTTACCTAGGTTACTATGTAAATTGACGATAACCTCACCTGAGGGACGTGCGCGGGTGATCTTGAACCGGCTCTCGGGAAACTGTATCCCGCTGTTGAACCTCCAAACAAATCTTGGCCAATGTGAGACGCATTTGATAAATCACGTATGTCTGGAGAGACTCCAGCAAAGTGGTAATTAGTAATATCCGTTATGAAAATAGTCGTATAATAACAGGTAATTTGCAAGTCTCATTATTATAAAAATGCAAGCTAGTTACTCACTTATACAGGCAACGCTTAGATGTTAGACCTATGTATAAGTACCGAGAGGTTAGAAGAACGCATAAAATATAAAATGAGATGCTAATCCGTATTTCTCGCCTATAGTTGGTCTGCTAAGTTACTACGATATAGTTATTCGGCTTCACGTGCGCTAATAATTGGCAATTAAGATTGGAAGAAATTCCATTAACCTTCTAGCAGCAGAATACAAAGAATGCCTATTAAGCTGGCTTGACCAGGGAGGCCAATCATCGTAACGGCTGAGAACATGAGCTAGAAGCCTTGTGGGTTTTGATAACGGCAACAGCCGTTAATAGTTGCATCGGCGTTGAATTTGTGCGGAGCGGCGCCGGCAGAGAACCTCATTATAGTAATCAAAGGCCGAGAGGATGGGGACTTTACGAAATGACAGATACGACCCTTCAACTACCTAATCTTCATTTTATCTTACTGGTGGAGGTATTACGCGTGCCAGTTACTAGGATAGCCTAGATAGAAAGAAAACATAAAAGGAGTTAAGCAATCACTGCTTGTAGAGAAATAGAAGTTAGCATCGACTATCGTCAACGTAAAGATGAAGCGTCCAACCACGAATCTTGCCGTCCCAGTCGGTGTGTTGGCCCTGCTAATCAGCGATGCACTGGCAGCCAGTAGCGGCGAGTTTAGCGTCCTTAGCATGAACGTCGCAGGCTTGCCAGATTTCCTCAATAGCAATGAGGTCCCGGGAGACAAGACCACCAACTCGGGGTTGATAGGCACGAAGTTCGCGCAGTACGATTATGACATAATTCACGTACAAGAGGTACGTACGATATTTCGTCTTCCCCTTATTTCGTAATGTATCGATGATTTGTAAGAGTTTAGCAAGTGGTCAGGTTTTGAAACCATCTGTTCCATCCCCCTGCGCTGTTCTCCTTTTTCGTTGAAACAGAGGTCTGAGGGCAAAGGGGCCGCGACATACATGTTGCATGATAGACAAGAAGGATCTAAGCTAAACGCAAAACCCAGGACTTTAACTATCACGCTTACATCTACGCCACTGACACGCACCCGTACCGCACGGCTACTTCGGGCGGTGTGCCTTTCGGCTCCGGGCTCAACACCTTATCGAACTTCGACTGGGTTGACTATGAGCGCGTCAAATGGGAAACGTGCAGCATTGGCTCAGGCGATTGTTTAACCCCTAAAGGTTTTGACTTCATGCGTGTCGCCCTTGATGATGGCGTTTACGTCGACGTATACAACCTACACGCAGACGCGGGTAGCGAAGACGGCGATATAACAGCACGTGCCGCCAACCTCAAGCAGGTGGCTGACGCCATTGACGCTCGTAGTTCTGGCAACGCTGTGCTTGTATACGGCGATACTAACAGCCGCTACACGCGGACGGGTGATGGTATCCGCATCTTCTCGGAGCAGAACGGACTCACGGACACTTGGGTTGAGCTCGTGCATGATGGCACTATTCCGAACGTCGAAACCATTTGCGAGAACCCAAGCACCACTAATGAATGCGAGACAGTCGACAAAATATTCTACCGCGGGAGCGCGCTTCTCGACCTGACCGCTACGTACTGGAACTACGAGAGTACCAAATTCCTACAGTCTAACGGCAGTATACTGTCAGACCATAACCCCATCACTGTGAATTTCACCTGGTCAGCGGGATCGAAGCTGCGACAATCTGGATTCTGGGGTGGCCCGCACGGTACTTGGTTTAGTGATGTGACATCACTCTCGGGGAAGACGTCGCCAAAGGTCAGCACGCTCACCTTCCGGGGTGCAGAGAGGTTAG